TGAGGTTGCCAGTCAGGATCAGGTCTGCCCTTGGGGAGCCTGGGGCTTACTGAGCTGGCAAAGGGTGCTCTCAGACCCCTGGCCTCGCTTCTTGTTTACTGACTCATGCATCTTGTAAATACAGGGACACCACATTGGTTCACAGGGCTCTTCCTGGGCTCCCGAGGGAAAAATGTTCTCTGGACCTGTCTTCCAGGGGGAGACTATTTCCTGAAGAATCAGCACAACATAAACAATCCTGGAAAAGCACATAGGCCAGGCTTCCTTTAATGTGGTAATTACTTAAATACATTTTTTGCTTTCATAGATTTCCTGCAAAATTGCCTCCAGATGTCACATGTGGCAGCCATGGGTGTATACTGCTAGGGTCTTCCTTAAACAAAGAACTTACTTTTTATTTTCAAGAAGTACAGTTAGCTGACAGCCTCAGCTGGTAGTTAGGGGCAGAAATAGAATATTGGGGAATAGCTGTTAATTATAAGAAATACTAGAGGCCTGGTGCACGAAATTCATGCACTCAGGGCATCCCTCAGCCCAGCCTGTGCCCTCTCACATTCAGGAGCTCTCTGGGAATGTCCAACTGAAAGCTCAGGCCCACTCCCTGTGCTCGCCAGCTGTAAGCCCGGCTTCTGGCTGAGCGGCGCTCTCCCTGTGGGACCACACTGACCACCAGGGGGCAGCTCCTACATTGAGCGTCTGCCCCCTAGTGGTCAGTGCACATCATAGCAACCAGTCATTCTGCCATTCTGTCGACTTACATATTAGCCTTTTATTATATAGGATTCATCATTCTCTGTTAAGTGATTGTTTTGTTCTGATTAAAGAAAGCACATTCTAACCAGGCTGAGAGTTTCACACCCCTGGGACCTGGGAGTCAACCTTGGAATGTGGTCCATTCTCAACCAAGAACTGACTATTATCATGGAAAGATTATCAACCTTATTGCCCAAATAATGGAGGCCCACCCCAGCCCACAATGCCTGTAATCTGTAACTGTCAGACCCATTCTTATTCCTTTTGCCTACCTCCCCATGTAAACTGATTTATGGGGGGTGCAGAGCAGATTTTCATGGATGACCTGCTGCTCTCCCATGCTGCTGGCATTATTGGAATAAATGCTCATATAAGATTCAACCCTGTCTCTGTTTACTTGGCTCAAGTAGTGACAGGCAGCCCAGACCCACAGGGTTACAAGGATGGGTCATTTCTGCCCAGTGCAGACTCAGCTGTTTTCCCAGTCCCTTTTCTATCACTTTGGTAAACCAGCTATTTCAGATCACCCCCATTACCCTGAATCTCCTCTCCATCACAAAAGGAAAGTGAAGAAAACCATCTTAGCAGTTCCTCTACAAGGGAAGCTGTCACCCCCACACTGGGGAGACTTGTTCTTCCCCTCTTCCCCATAATTCCTCAGTCAGCATCTTTGTAAGCAAACATGGAGGTGTTGGGAGTCAGAGGCGAGGGCTTGGGACTTCTTAGGCTGGACTGGGAGAGACAATAGAAGGCAGCATAGATAAAATTCACCAAAATGCCTTTAAACAATTTTTTTAAAATATATCTTTATTGATTTCAGAGAAGAAGGGAGATGGAAAGAGAGATAGAAACATCATTGATGAGAGAGAATCATTGATTGCCTGCCTCCTGCACACCCCCCATTGAGGATCTCACCTGCAACCCAGGCATGTGCCCTTGACTGAAATCGAACCCGGGCCCCCTCAGTCCGCAGGCGGACGCTCTACCCACTGAACCAAACCAGCTAGGGCTAAACAATTATTTTAAAAAATGGTAGTCTGGGTCTTACTGCTCAGTGTTACAAAATGCAGACTCTGTGGTACATTACTATTAAATAAGATATGGCAAGGCTATGTTGTCAAGCAATGATTGGATCGAGTATTATTAATCAGCAAGAGGGTAAAGCCCTCTCTCACCTAATCCTGTCCCCCAGATGCACTCCATATAGATTTGTAGTAAAAAACATTTTAATGAGGGGAGCAGCTGTCCTTCCTCTCCCTGCCCTGCCCTCTCACTTGCCCCTCAATACAACACCTTGGGAAGGAAGCCCTGGAAATGACCTTCCTTTCCTGTTTGATGGAAGCGTCAAAGGTGAAGTAAAGCAAAACACATGAACAAAACAAACGTGTTTGTGGGGTGTGGGGAGAGATGTGTTTACTGTGCTGAGAGATGGAAGCTGGAGAAAAGGCTGGAGGTTAGAGGAGAGGGAGAGATTATGCTTAAATTGACCCAGATCTGACAGAGGCCTCAGGCGGACTGTTCTGATGTCCTGTTTAGAGGGATTAAGATGAGAGGTCATTCACAAATCAAGACTCACATCTGGAGCTTGGCTTTTCCCCTCCCTCCCTCCTGTCTTCTTTCCCCCTCTCGATATAATCCAGAAATCAATTCATTAATGGATCCAGTGCATTTTCAGAGACCAAACATAGAAAGGAAAGTGAAATATACAGGGGCCCGGAGGGCTTGCCTCCCTTTCCGCCTCTGTTGACGAGCTGCTGGGTTATAGACGCATTGTGACTATTTTTCTGTCTCTCTTTTGCTCAAGTCCATCCTTTCTTCCCTAAACACATCTCATGGTGCTATTCACTTGCATAAGATGAAAACCTTCTAACTTTGAACCAAGAGCTTCATTTGTTGTTAGGGTTGGAGATATCTGAATTGGTTGTTGT